GATAGATAGATAGATAGATAGATAGATAGATAGATAGATAGATAGATGTGACAAAAAAAGAATTTTCATTGCTACCAAGTTCTCTGATGATAAGATAAGGAAAACCACTAAGATGTCCTCAGGGAGGAGCAGAGCCCCTCTCTAGGGGCCCCAGAACATTCTGGGACTCACCAGAACTGCCCCACAGGTCCGTCTTGTCCCATTGAAAGCTACCCCTGAATCTTCAGACCCTCCAGAGCAGGCATGGCCTGGGCATTAGAAGGACACAGTGAGAGCAAGGACAAAAACCTGATTACATACAACACTGGAGGCAAATGTTGACCCCTGGATTTCAGGCTGCTTTAAAAAAGGCTGAGTCAATCCTGCGCAGCCTACCATGAAATGCCATGGCCCAGCAGTAACTTATTTGGTCTCTCAATGTCCTAACCAGGAGGAAGAGCCTTGGTCCATGGGCCAACCCCCACAATAAGCAATCCAGTCTGAGTAGCGCTTGCAGCATAACAATGAAGTTGCTGCAGGAGTGACTAACCAAAGCACAGCCCTCCCCACTGCCCACCCTGTGCCCATGACATCATCACAGGCCCCATCACCGCTTCCTGCTGGGTGGCACAGCACCTGGCCATGGAGGCGCTGAGACCAGGGCTGGGAGACTCAGCAGAACCTGACACTACTTTTAGCCAATAGGGAAGGCGTCTGATACTATCTAATAAAACATGCAAATGCCTCTTGTCACCTCTAGTCCGCCACAGTTAGCTCTGCTGCAGCTGTGTAGCCCCTGTGCCGGGGGGGGGGGGGGCGCCTCCCATGTGCAAAGGCAGCGGGGCCAGACCTTTACCATCCCTGAGAGCCTTCCCGGCTCGCAGACACTAGAGCTCCATGTGTGTGTGCAGAGGTCTCATTGCCCCTCCCCAGAGGAGTGCCGCTGGCTGCCGCTGAGGGTTCTCAGCGCTCTGGTGCTGTGCACACAGAGCGCCTGGCCTGGAAGAACAGCCCTGGAGCTCTTACCACACCATCCCTGTCAGGGAACCCATCCCCTGCACCCACACAGACCCCAGACCAGCACTACCGAGGCATCAGAGCTGCCCTCAAGGAAGTGAGCACCTCCTGAGCCTCCTGCTGCACTCTGCTCCTGAGGCTCCTTCACTGGACTTGACGGAGCAGCAGATGCAGCTACTTATAGCCTCTGGTTGACCTGGCGGGGAGTGGTCTAGAACGGGAGGGACGGGGAGCCACAACGCTGCCCAAAGTTACGAGGCTTCCTTCTGGAGGCCGAGACCTCCCTCCCTCCCACACAGACCAGACTCTTCTCCCTGCCAAAGGCATGGCAGCCTGCTCACTCACCGTGAAGTCCCTCCTGATGGCAAAGTTCTCGGGCTTGACGTCACAGAGGTGGAGGCGGTGGGCAAAGTCGCTGTCGAAATGGCTCACCATGTCCAGGAAGCTGAGGGCTATGTGGCTGATAGCCTGTGCCTGGCCCGCGTCAGCCAGTGGGAAGAGTGCCCTGTGGTGAGGGCTACCGGCTGCCAAGTGCTCCACGGCGTAGAAGTGGCCACAGGATCCCAGCACGGGCAGGATGTGGCGGCTCAGGTCCGGCAGCAGGCTGAAGTACAAGTACTCCTCCTGCTGGAGCAGCGACCACGCGCTGGCCAGCTGCCGCCGCCAGCCGGGGCCCTGCCTGGCGGGCCACAGCGGGGCCATGCTGGTGTTGGGCAGCTCCAGGCCCAGCGAGCTCTTGACCTCCCCGGCCACCATCAGGAGCAGCTCGGCCTCAGGGATACCCGGGTCCCCCGGCCCTGCCTCCTCCTCCGGCAGACTGAGGGCTGGGAAGCTGGAGAAGGCCTCCTTCTTGGATTTGAGGACCACAGTCCGGCCGCGCCACTGGGCCTGCAGCACCTTCTTACCATGCTCGTAATACAGGCAGCGCTGGTACAGCAGCTCCCCGGCCACGCACAGGTCCTCGCACAGGGCGCCCGTGAGCCAGCCGCCGCGGTAGTCCCGGCACTGGAAGGAAAGGGAACAGTGGGTCACAACAGGGCAGCGGTAGGGTCAAGGAGAAGCACACATCGGCACCTGCAGGGGGAATTGGGAACGAGCCGAGGAGAGAAGCAGTCCAGATGGGAGAGGTGGGCTCTCCTGGACCTGTGAGCTGCCCGGCCAACGCTCCAGCCGGAAACAGTTAAATGGTATGCACAGAGCACAGACTATCCCACTTGTCATTAATCCTTCGCAACACAGCATAGCTGCATTGTATCCTGCGGCAGTGAGTATCGAAAGAAACGCAGAGGTGAGTCTCAGCATGGAAAAGATATGTGTAGCTACCCAGACTCTAGGCTGTGGTGGGGATAACCGAGCCCCTTGGGTTGATTTTTTGGTATCCAAGGAGAGGCAGGTTCAGACAGACAGCCCTCATGGTAAGAGTCTCATGATTATGTCACTCAGTCGAGCTGAGGACGTGGCCTTCCAAATCAGACATCTAGAGTTCAAGAGTGTCTCCTTGAGGAGGGGGCTGGGGGAGGCTGAGAAAAGCTGAGCCCTGGGAGAGCAGACCCAGGTCACGACGAGGCTCATCCACAGACCGTTAACATGCCCATGCCAGAGCAGCTGGGTTGGGTGAGGCCTCGTCTACCTTCGGGCGGACCACGGCGCTGCCCTTCCTACAAACACACCCCTGTGTTCGCCGTCACACCTGAGGTGGTGTGCTCTCCGTGCTCCCATTCCTCCAGCCCCCACGATGTCAGATAACATGCCTCCTGCTCCTGGAGCGGACAGAGGCGAGGAGGGCCTTGTGACGCTCTGGATGCTTGGGGACAGTCTGCAATTGCTTCTGCAGTGAGGCCGGGGGTGGGGAGTCTCTCCCAAACATCATGGGGCTCCAGGATGGCGCCACTTGGGGGATGTGGGAACCTGATTAGCCTCCCATCGCTCCCTAGGAAGGCTATTCTGTCAGTCCTCAAGAAAGAGGAAGGAGCACAAAAGGGGCAGGGAGTGAAGGGAGAAGAGTCATAACTCTGTTCAGTGTCTTTTCGCCCTGCTTTGCTTCTCCTAAAATGCCCGGATGACCAGCGCGGACACTCTGGCCGAATCTCCAGTCTGAGAGCTGGGGGCCTGACCACTCTCTCCCTGCTGGGTTGCGGCGCCCCAGCATGCCGCCTGGTTGGGGCCGCCTCCTCCTCCTCCATCCAGCCTGTTCTGCCTCCCTCACAGTGTACAGTCCAGCGAGAAGCGCGTGTGCAAAGAACAACATGGCCTCGAGCCACAGTCAGACATGCCAGCATGTTCTTCTCAAAGACAGGAGCTGGTTTCGCGTTAGTCAGCCTTACTGCCCCTGAGATGATTATAAGATGTGCCTTGAAGTCAGGAAAATAAACTCCGAGTGCCTACACACAAATAATTTCAAAACCAAAAGCTGTCTGGAAACCACAGGCTTTCATGACTCATTTGGCCACAGTGGCCTCAGGCTGAAATGACGGGGCGTTTGCGGTCCCTGCTGGGCTCTGACTGTGTGCATCCAAGAAACCCCTGACGACTGGCACTGCCCCACGCCCTACATGCAAGACATAACCATTCACACCAGACCACAGAGCAGCTAACAAGAAACTGTGGGCTTTCATGACTACTGAAGACAGAGGTTCAAAACTCCCGTCAGCCAAGAGCCCGCCTGTGCTGAAGGTGGTGCCTGCACCGTCCAGCCACTTTCAGACTAACTTCACAGCAGCCTGAAGGCCCGAAGCCACAGGTCCGGGCTGCCCCTCCCGCAGGCTTCCTGCTGACGGGGCACACTTGCGTTGGTGCCCTTTAGACCTCCGTGTAGCAGAGACGGAGGCTCACACTAATCAAACACCACGCTCCAGGCCTTCTTCCGACAGGGTTCTGCAGGAAGAAAGCCCGGGGAGGGGCTCAGCGGTGCCCCCGCTGCTCCTGCAGAGGACCTGGGTTCAGATTCTGGAACACGCATGGCACCTCACAGCCATCTGTGTGTTGGGGGAGTGTCTGACACCCCCTTCTGACTCAGACACCAGGCACACACATGAGTGTAGTGAACACTCTACACATGAAATAAAATAAGCATTTTAAATAGAAAGAGAGTGCTGTGCCTCAGCTCCCAGCTAGAGAATGACACCATAAGCTCAGAGCTCTGCTGCTCCTGATGTTGAGGATGACGGTGGTGGTGGTGGTGGTGGTGATGGTGGTGAAGGTGATGGTGGTGGTGGTGGCGGTGGTGATGGTGGTGGTGGTAGTGGTAGTGGTGGTGGTGGTGATGGTGGAGGTGGTAGTGGTGGTGGTGATAGTGGTGGTGGTGGTGGTGGTGATAGTGGTGGTGGTGGTGGTGGTGATAGTGGTGGTGGTGATGGTGGTGATGGTGGTGATGACGATGGTGATGAGGAGGAGAATGGTGGTGATGGTGGTAGTGGTGGAGGTGGTGATGGTGATGTGGTGTGGTGTGGAGGTAGTGGTGGTCGTGGGGTGTATATACCTGTGTATATGGAGGCCAGAGGTCAACTGTGGGTCCCTTCCTGTATTGCTCTTTACTTTACTTTTTGAGACAGGGTCTGTCAATAAACCAGGAAGTCACTTTTTGGCTACACCAACAGGCCAGTGGTTCCAGTGTCTGCCTGTGTGTGCCCTACCCCATTGCTGGGATCACGGGTGTGCAGCACCACGCCTGACTTTCAGTGAGGATCTGGACGTGGGACCCCGTGCTTGTACCATCAGCACTCTACCGACCGGCTGGACTTTGCGGAGGGAATGCTGACCTTTGACCTTAGCTCTGGGCCGTCTTTCCAGATGGCCTTGGGAAGGTGGGTACTGAGACAGCCAGTGGGTGAAAGTGTGGTCTCACAGCTGTATGCGCATACGCTATTCACTGTCCAAGTGTTTCCCTGCTCAATCCGAGTTCACAGCTCCACGTGTCTACAATAAACCTGATAAGAAAAGGCGGCACTGTCTTGCCTTCCTTTTAAATTAAACAGGAGAAACGGCGCAGTACCCAAAGTGGCTTGGACCCGTTCCACGGCATTTCTCTGATGTTGCTGCAGCGGTAATTTAATTGGAAATGCTCCTGCATGAAGCTCAGGGCGGAGCTGGAAAAGAAAGCGCTGTGTGATCACCTTTGCTGGGGCTGCGGACACTCACAGTGCTCAAAGGGGCACTTGAGGAGCGGGGCCCAGAGGAAGCCTTAGAAGAGGCCCTGGCTAGGCCCCAGCCACTGAGACGCTCCCCTCTGGGTATGAGTTAGAAGCGTGTGGGGAAGGGGAGCTGGCTCTCCTCATCACTGCACCAACCATGGGTTACACTGCAGACGCAGGAGCTGGTGAGTCCCATCAAGATGGGTCTAGAACAAGGCTTTGTCCCCACCTGGACACAAACAAGTCAACACTGACAGTGTTCTGAGTGTACCCCTTGTGAGTGAGTGCGCTCGGGGCCACCTCAGCGGGCAGCTCCCAGGCCGCTTCACAGCTGGATGACAACCGTGGGGCCGGGCTGGCTTCACAGTTCCTGTCGCCGCGGGCTGGCTTGGCCCGGCCTCTGCCCCTCATGGGCTGTGCACCTGCTTCTGAGAGTGTGCAGTGAGGACAACTGTCCAGCATCACAGGTGATGCCACGAGGTCCAACACAGTCAGAGGCGCCATCCCTGGCTCCTGGCCCTGGGCAGCCTGAGCCTCTCTGCAGCTTCCCAGACCTGGTTATGAGAGAGTGGGTCAGGCTTCCCAGGGACATGAGCTCAGCGCTGACGGCGGAGGGGCCGAGTCAGCAGGCAGAGAAGAGGGGGGTTCTGCCAAGTTTTGATGAGGCACCGAGTGGCCAGAGAATCAGAAAGCGCACTTCCGGGTGGAGAGCAGCGGCAGCACGCTCTAAGGAAGATGCTATTCCAGGGCGTGGAGTATGGCTCGGTGGGCGAAGCTTGTCGCACAGTCATGAAGACCCGAAGATGCATGAGCACTAGCTTGTGATCCCAGGGCTCCTTTGGCGAGAAAGGAGGCAGAAACAGGGGACTCTGGTACACGTGGTGGTCAACGAGACTCTGTTTTCAAGGTTGTGCTCTGAGTGCCACACATGCTCTGTCGGATGCATTACACACACACACACGTACACACACATGCAGAAGTCTAAACTTTGCTACTTCAAATCTGGCACAGTGATTCACACCTGTAGTCCTCACACTGGGGAAACTGAGCAGAGTGACGGCCGTCTATGAGACCAGTCTGTCTCAGACAAACCCTGCCTCCAAAGCAGTCACTCTCCTGTCTCCATCCACTCTTCCCAATGTGTCAAGTTCACTAAAAACCTTCTCACCCGGGGGCATCCTAGTCTCTCTGTCTCTGTCTCTCTGTCTCACACACACACATTAAATAGCCGTGTGACCATTGTCTGTACTGGGTCCATCAACACATTGCTTTATATACAAATCTGTTTCAGCAATGAAACAAATAAAAACGATTGAAATGTCCAGGAAATTCACCCCAGCAAATTTGGAAGGCAATTTCCAAAGAGGAGTCAGGAGACGCTTGAACCATTGAGAGTGCCACTGAGTTTGCATCAGCCTAGGGGAGTGCGGGGCAGGGATCACACCAGTTGCGTTCTGGGGACCACGCTGGCTTCCTGCTAGACAGCCTAGTGTCTGAAAGGGCAGGATGTGAAGGTCAGAGGCCTCCAAGCCTGCTGGCTACCACAACTTCTCAATGGCCCAAGAAAGAAATCCACAGTAGAAGTGTGCTCGCGAGCACACGCAGGTGCGTTTACTGCAGAGAGGCTGCTGTTCCTTGTGTCAAGATGCAGGCTCTGCCCTACCTCCTGCCCGTCTGTCTTCTACAGGTGGAGAGCTCTCTCCCCTGTGGCTGGCTAAACCACACTCTCTGAGCTTAGCATGCTGGTGCCTGCTGGGTGCAGAGAAAGACTTAGTCAGGCAAATAAGACACCATAAGCTGAACATACAGACTACAAGCTTAAAGGGGAATCTGGAAACTCTCGATATGTGAGTGCTAATGGCTGGCTTACTGTATTAGCAGCATCTTCTAGCGTTTCAACAGAGGGGGCTTCAGTAGGTCTGTGTTTAAAACTGGACTGTTTCTCTCCTCTAGGATCTCCAGGATCACAGGTATGTGCCACCACGTGTGGTGTTTTAGTGGGTTCTGGGAGCAGAACTCAGATCCCGATACGTGTGAGGAAATGAGTCACCAGCTGAGCTGTGTCCTGCACACCTCTGCTGGCACAGTTTACATTAATAAAATTAATAGTCAACCTATTTTCCTGTTGTTGTGTATACATATCATCATCATCACATCCCTCCCGCCCTCCCCTCCCCCTCCAGCTGCTCCCATGACCCCTTCCCAAATTCTTCTTTAAATAGCATAGGGACCTATAAGTGTGTGTCTCTGTGTTACAGAGCCTATGTAACACGCATGTGCATACAACTTACTCAGTACATTTGGCGTTGCTCGAATGTGCATGTAGGGCTGACCACTGTGGACTGCTCGTCTATGAGCCTGGTGAGCACTGAAGCATTGAGCTCACACACACGCAGCACTGAGGCACTAACTTGCACACACGCAGCACTGAGGCACTGAGCTCACACACACAGCATTGAAGCACTGAGCTCGCACACACCCCGCAGTCAGGCTTCCTGAGAACCGGCCTTCTCCACGAAGCTGCACTGTGCGTGCTGCAGAACCCCAGCAAGCAGCACCCCAGTGTGCAAAGCCTCCTCTGAAGACACAGCTGACTCTGCAGAGAGGGGCTCCCCACTGCTATGAGCTCGTCCTGGGCAGAGGCCCAGGGTGCTGTGTCCCCTGGGGCCCCGGCAGTCTCCATTATCACGAAAAGATGACCCTGCCCCGTTTTTTGTTTTGTTTTAACCTTTAATGTAGGCAAATGTTGGCAGGCCACTGAATTCCATAGCACCTAACCAGGCCTAGACAGTTAAGGCTTCTGGATGCCACAGTCTGTGGGAAGACTGTTGAGGCTTTGACAACAGCTTGCTGGGGGGAAGACCCCCTAAGCTGCTGCTCAGGGTTTGCACTGTAGAAAATTTTAAGCATCCAGGGTCTCTGTTGTTCAAGGCACCAACTAGAATCTAAGTCCTCAGCACATCAAAATTGCCAAGCAGGACAATGCTACATGGCCTTCCCAGGCTTAATTCTTTCCATCTGCAAAATGGGCTATTTTCAAAGTGAACACATCATGGAGCTTGTCAAGAGGATTAAGTGAAGTACGATGGGCTGTGCTACTGTGCCTGCTGCTGGGCAGAGCAGGCATCAGCAGGTGCTGGCGGAGAGCATGCTGCCTCTCTAAGGCTCTCTACCTGCAGAAGCTAGGGGTGTCCTGACAAAGCTCCCAGCCCTTCCTCAGCCCAGCAGAGCCTCACCACTCAGCTCCCCCAAAGAAAGGCCTTAAGGACCTCCCAGCCAGCCCAGGAGTACCCCTTCCATGATTGCAGTATGCTGAGAAGCTACACAAAAGGGAAGACACTGGGAATCCAAAGGACCCAGGGCCTGAAGCTTTCAAACAAGTCACGTTAGCTTTGAAAGTGCAGGAGACCCTTGGGAGACTGGCAGACCCTCCCCCATCCTCTGGCCAGCTCCTCACCACCTGGTTGCTGTATTCTGTAGGTAAGGTTTCCCCTGCGGCCAGCAATGTCACCTGCCACTCTGGGGCCTGGGAACTCAGGCTGCCAGCATGGGCCACTCTCCAGTACTCCTGGCCCTGCACAGAGGACCTCCCTTTGGCTCTAATTTCTTATGTGCTCTGGATACTCACAGTGAAAGCTAATGAGAGTCTGGAGGCCAGTCAGAAAAATAACAACCGGTTTTATTATGTAGGATGAAAGCCAGACGAAATGCAAAGTGCCGGGGGAGCCAGGACACAGGCGTGATTCAGACCCAGCCCTCAGAGGCCACTATGCCAACCTCTGCTTGGCAGCTGCCTGGCTGAAACTGCGGTTTAGTCTGCCCTAAGTTAGGGTCTTGCGTAGGAGCTGAGTCAGGGCACATTCTCAGGTTCCCCTCGGCAAATTCAGAATGAAAGCATCAGGAAAGAAGGTTCAAGAGTAAAGAGAGACCTTTTCTTGGCTGAAGACCAGTTCACACGCCGCATCCCCGTGCCCCCCACCCCAGCATTTCACCTGGGACTCTAACAAACAAACTTTGGGAAAATGGCTTTGAGAATTTGGCAAGAGTTAAGATTGAAAGATGTCAAAGACAGAATCAATCTTTTCAGCTCTCTGTCAAACTAAAAACGACCCCACATGGCTACATTGAAGATGTATTGGTAGAGCTTCTAAACAGAATTGGTATTAATTTGCAGCCTGGAATGCTGGGAAAGTTATGACTACCAATTACTTAAATTATGTCAGGCAATTTAATTTCCATTAGGCTTTTCCCAGCATGACCAAAGATAAATAAATAAATAATGGGCTTTGTTTCCTATTTTAATCTAAAAGATTATATTAAGTTTGTAAATGGGATCTGGGTCTTAGCCAAACTATTAAATTTTATTGTCTTAGTCAGCAAGGCTCACCAAAATAAAAGGAACAATCTCTGCAATCCAAAGGATTTTTAGGGGGTTACTGGGGAAAGTAATGAGATCTTGCAACTTAAAACTTGGTGGAACTTCAGTTGATCAGTGGACAGAAAGTCTATGTCCTGTGTCAAGGGCACAGGCCAACTGGAGCAGGAGCAGCATTTAGTTAGGAAGCGTGCTTCAGTGCGTTAATTTCTCCACTCTCCTTTGAGAGGTCTTTAAAAGTCAGGGGCAGCTGTGGCATTCGCCTGTAATCCCGGCAGAGGAGGCAGAGGCAGAGGCAGAGGCAGAGGCAGAGGAGGCAGAGGCAGAGGCTGAGAGACAGAGACAGAGGCAGAAGCAGAGGCAGAGGAGGCAGAGGCAGAAGACAGAGGCAGAGGAGGCAGAGACAGAG